CAATCCGCAACGTCCACCGCCACGCCCACAGCAGAGCCCCTCACGCTCCTCCGTCTGCTCCCTGCCGCCCTCACCCGAGCACAGCAAGATCACACGTTTCTGAGCGGATCCGGGAATAGATCCGCAGACAGACCTAACCAGCACACCCCAACTTCCGTTCGAACTCTAGTCAAAGCGCCAAGAATGTGCATTAATTAAATTGCTGTAATCTATTTGTTAATCTAACATTTTAAATAGCGACGACCCCATAACCCATGGCCATTTAAGACTTTAATAAAAATAAATGGATAAATACGAGAAACATATTAAAAATTGATATTATTGAATATAAATAAGTATGATAAAGCTAATAATATGAATATGAATATGAAATGAATATAAATAAATGAATAAATATGAAATACAAATGTTAAAAATTTTGTTTTTGTCAATGTTAAATTAATTTTGTTTATATAAGAAACTAGCAGTAAAAGTAATAACATTTTTTTATAGGAGTCAAAGATAATTGTAGAACGTGTAGAGCATGAGAATTGAATAGATGGAAGCATACACTTTGATTTACGGAATTAAAAACAAATTTTTTTTTTAAAGTTTAATATGTATTTTATAGATTTAAACAAAATTAAGAACATACAAATATTTTACATTAATTGATAGCTTAAAATCCGGTTAATTCATTTTATAGCTAAATCAGCATGTCTATTAAATCTATTTAAATGCAGCAAAATCAGTTTTTTAATTGATGCCCCAATTCAGGCCGCCCTCTTGTGCCTGAACCGACCCTCCGATAACTTTTGATTTGCCTGGTTGATGCCTTTGCTAAGTGAAAGCTTTCCGTAGCAAGCTTTCTAACGGTAACTTTAATTGGCTTTATAGACACGTGATTATTATAGAAATTGGCTCAAGACGCCCAAACGAAAACTCAATATCCTCTTTGCGTCACGCGACACTAGCGCTGGCGCCCATTGTTTGGCCTTGAAAAGGGGCGGAGTTTCAGCATTATTTATTTTTTTTTTTTTTGTGTTTTGCTACATTTATGCGTGGGCCGCTGACGTCAGGCCACCAATGTCCGCTGCGAGCATTGACCGTGGCACATGAGAAAATGCGCAACAAGACATCAGCTATAAATGTTTGACCACATCAACTACCAAAGCCCGCCAAAAAAAAAAAACACACAAAAAAAAAAGAAAACAGAACAAAAATCTAAGCAACATTGCAAGGCCGCCAAAGAACACGCGACTATCTGAAATGGCGTCGCTTTTAACCGCTGTCGCCACGCGCCAAGCATTAGATTTGATGCAGAGCAATGAGGGCAGGGGAGGGGGTGGGGGGTGAGGCTGGCAGCCGCAGTAAAGTTATGCCGACAAGTTTTATCTGGCTGGCAACGGCAAGTAGAAGTACGTGTTGTGCTGGCCAAATTTGCGTTGCACACTTTGTGGGGCGAGTAGGGGCGGGGGGTAGGCGCGTTGCTTTTGGCGTACTTCCGGCATAATTTGCACTCCATTTGCCCAAGCACACAGAGAGCACCAAAACACACCGAAAACAGCGAAAACACAGAAAGCATCTTCGCCAGGACATTTGCGCAAATTTGCTTTGCCTTAAATCAAGATAACAAGCAAAACGTTTTGTATTTGCTTTTGACACAAATTTTTAATTAAATTTGCAATTTGGCAAAGCCATTGTGCGTTTAATTAAACCTGTGCCGAGAGAGTAGATGGCTGTGAGGATACTTCCCTATACAGGCTTGAGCTGATTCAATTATTTAATCATTATCTAACGACGCAGTTGCCGTCCCTATTATTTCTATTTATATATTTAAGCTCTGCTAATTGCATTCAAGAACTCACAAACTGACAGACTGTGTCCATTATAATTGCCAGCGTTATCCTGGCTGCGAGTGGAGAGTGTGCGGCACTTAGCTGTCAAAAGCTCTGCTACGTGACATTATTAAGAGTGCAGTCGTCCATCGTGCATACACTGACCGAACCGGCCACCCCCAGACAGACAGACAGACGGACAGTCGAACTGTGGGCCGGGGTGCGTATGATTTATGAGTGGAACGCAACTAATGATGGCACATCCGTTAGATGGCGGGCGTGCCAGGAGGCGCAAAGCAATGCCACATGCACATGGACATACATATCTATACATTAATAAATAATATGGAAACTACTGCAGCTGCTGCCAGCTGCAAAACCGAGCAGCAGGTCGATATTAAATGATCATTACTGCAAAGAAAACAGCAGCAAAAAACCAAAAACAAAACAACAAAAACTGTTGCAAACTTTTACAATTTTAACCAAAATATCGTGTGATACTCATGCTCAAGTTAAACTTGCTAAACTTCCTGCCAATAACAATTGAGACATCTGCTCATTGTACACCCTGTCGTTTATTTATTTTACTTATTTTTATTTTTATTTTATTTTTATTTTTATTTTTTATTTTTCTTTTTTGCACATTGTCATTTGTCACATGCCAAGAGGGCTATAAATGCGTTACGGAAGGCAAAGGCGCAGGCTAAGGCAATGTCGAAATTCGCCGGCTGCATGATTCACTAGGCTTTTCTTTTTGGTTTTGTGACGACATCAACGCATGCCGACGCCCCCGCAGCGCGGCATAATACATATTTTGTTTAAGGTTATCTGTCGTCGGGCTGCTTAACTCGCATTTGCCAAACTCATTGGCATGTCGCCAAAAATTTCGACGCCATATCCACAGTCGCGTTGGCCATTTGATTATATTAGTCATGCTTACAAAAAAAGCCATATGACGTTTGGGCACCCGCCCGCCCAGCTAGTGAGCCACCCAGTCAAGAAGCTAGAGCCCACAACAGCTTTTACTACACACACACACGTACACACACACACACACATACAAAAGACAACGTCAACGTCAGTCGACCCTTATTTTATGGTACTACACAAAAAAGGGAAAAACATGCCCTACCATATATAGACGGGGCTTAGAGACGCGGCAGGACGAACAAAAAGCTTTTCATTCATCAGAAATAATCAGGCGAACAAAGTCTTGTGGCAACTGTGTGTGTGTGTGTGAGTGTTTGTGCTTGTGCTTGTGCTTGTGCTTGTGTGTGTTTGTCTATGTGCCATTTGGTGTAGAGTTTGCGCTGCGCAAATTTCACAATCGTGTTCTATTTCTTGGCCCGCTCTAGTATCAAGCGACTATTTTGGTTAGCTCGGAGCCCCTGCTGCCAACTTGACGAAACTTTTGCTGCTGCTGCTGCTGCTGCTGCTGCTGCTGCTTCTTGCTCGGGCTGCCTTTGTTTCTATTTTTATTTCTATTTCTGTGCGTCTTCAATTGCCTAAAGGGATTCATTCATGAAATTTGACAGTCTGACGCGAGGAAGCAAACAAAGCGATTAAGCTTTTTATTTTAATTGCCCCGAGTTTGGCTATTTTTAGGCCAGCCGCAGCGCGAAACCAAGTGGGCGACTTATGAAACTCAATTTTTATTGATTCTCTTTCACATTTGAATGAGTTACATACCGATTAGCATAGAATAAAACTGTCTCTCACTAATTGACAAACGCGTTTGATTTTATGGCCATGAAACTAATTTAACCATAGACAAGTTTCTTAACTACAATCAATAATAATAATATTTTTATTTTT